GAGGAGAAGCGCCGCATACGTCGCGAACGTAACAAATTAGCTGCGGCACGTTGTCGCAAACGTCGCGTCGACCAAACAAACGAATTGCAAACAGAAGTTGACCGTCTGGAGGGTATTCGCGAAACGCTGCAGAAGGAGGTCGAGAGCCTTAAAGTAACCAAGAACCGTTTGGCCTTCATTTTGGAAGCGCATCGACCGACGTGCCAGAAGATACGACAAGATCTATTGAGCGTACATACCTACGATGGCCTAATTGCGCCAGCGAATAGTAACAGCAACGACAGTAACAGCAATATCATTGGAGTTGATACGACGCTATCGTCTGTGGGACGCAGTGGCTCGCCCATCGATCTCAAGCCCATCATTTTAGACATTGTGCCGCACATCAAGCACGAACCTTTGGATAGTGCGCTCGACTCAAACTCGTCCCTGGATCATGACGGCCCACCATCGCCCAAGCGCATGCTACTCTCCGACAATAATCCGATGGTACAGCCACCTTTACCGAATGTAGCCACACTATCGGCTTCATTGGCTGCGGCCTCGGCATCCTTAAATACACCCATTGTGACGTCGGCACCAGTGAGTTTCGCCAGTTTCGTCGCAGGCAATAGTATGGCCAACAATAATAACAACAACAACATCATTGCGACCAGCATTGCTATAACAGGCACATTAGCTGCACCGAATAGACCACTATTGTGTAGCAGCAAGCAGCGTCCCAACTCGTTGCCCACAAACCTACGCAATCAGGCACAAAATCTCGCTTTAAATACAGAGCGTCCGCCAACGGACATCAATGGTGTCGCCATACAAACACCATCAACAGGCATGTTCAACTTCGACTCGCTAATGGATGGTGGCACCGGTCTGACACCCGTCTCGGGACCACTGGTGCCGACTTGCTCGTCGCAAAACAAACATCCATTGGAAATGCAGACACCTACAAGTGAGCCATCGAAATTGGTGAGCTTATAACAATAAGGAGCACAGAAAGGAAGGAAAATGGACGTAGGCTGGCGGCACCGGCGGCGGCTGAAGCGTTGTTGTGAAGGGCCGTGGCGTGGTAGAAGGGCAGGAGAAAGGGAAATGCGCCAGTCGAATAATGACATTTTTTCCAAGAGTATTGTGGTATTGTGTTAGTGAAGCTTACACGTTTATAAAGCGGAACAGCCAGCAGTCCAAGAACAAGAACACAAAGAAGTATGCGCTAAAATGTATTGGAGTGCGCGACGGACGATGCGTATACGCAACCTAAGACGCAATAAAAATGGGAAGCAGTTGCAAATATGTAATAAACGATATGTAGGCATATACAGACAGACGTACATACATACATATGTACATATGTATGTTTCAAAGCAGATTTCACGATGCGAATGTTTTAAAAGCGATTTTTTCTTAATTTAAAAAATCTAAAGTTTTTGTAAAACCCTTTGTGCGTAGACGAATAGTTATAAGAAGTTATAGGCAAGGCATTAACACTGTTTGTATGTATGTAAAATGTTAAGTTTTATTTTATACTTTGTTCACAAAAAACGAAAATATTTTTATTAAAAGGAAAACAAAAACAATTTTTTAACTTAGTTAAAAAGAAGCGAACACAGTTTATGAAAATCTGGGAAAATGTGGAACGAAGGAGGAACGAGAGCGAAATCTGAGAGGAAGTAGCAAAACATTAGTCTATGCATCATTATGTATTGTATTATTACTTAAAACTTATTTTATAACTATTTTTTTTTTATTATAGATGGTTATTAAAAAAAATGCCAATTATTTCATAATTTTTGCTGTACAATTTTGAGAAATCTTAGCACTTGTTTTGGAGTATTTTCGGGCATTTTATCATTTCANTTTTGTGCGTAGACGAATAGTTATAAGAAGTTATAGGCAAGGCATTAACACTGCTTGTATGTAAAATGTTAAGTTTTCTTTTATACTTTGTTCACAAAAATCGAAAATATTTTTATTAAAAGAAAAACAAAAACAATTTTTTAACTTAGTTAAAAAGAAGCGAACACAGTTTATGAAAATCTGGAAAAATGTGGAACGTAGGACAAGGAACGAGAGCGAAATCGGAGGAAGTAGCAAAACATTAGTCTATGCATCATTATGTATTGTATTATTACTTAAAACTTATTTTATAACTATTTTTTTTATTTTAGATGGTTATTAAAAAAAAATGCCAATTATTTCATAATTTTTGCTGTACAATTTTAAGAAATCTTAGCACTTGTTTTGGAGTATTTTCGGGCATTTTATCATTTCAGTTCATTTCTGCGCGCAATGGAAAATCATAAAATTTTGTATGGCAAAGCGTAGAATAATCTGCGCTTTTTTGTTCTTTGATTCCCGCTTAACAAATTTCAGCTGCACTCTTTGTTTTTGTTTGTTTGTTTTTTTTTCTATAAAGTTAAACTAAAGGAATTGTGTTTAACGACATTAAGAAGGCGTTGTGATATTTTTAATAAATAAAAAATAANTCTTTGATTCCCGCCTAACAAATTTCAGCTGCACTCTTTGTTTTTGTTTGTTTGTTTTTTTTCTATAAAGTTAAACTAAAGGAATTGTGTTTAACGACATTAAGAAGGCGTTGTGATATTTTTAATAAATAAAAATAAAAGAAATAAAAACTTTATAAAAAGTATTTTAAAAAAATATTANGTTCTTTGATTCCCGCTTAACAAATTTCAGCTGCACTCTTTGTTTTTGTTTGTTTGTTTTTTTTTCTATAAAGTTAAACTAAAGGAATTGTGTTTAACGACATTAAGAAGGCGTTGTGATATTTTTAATAAATAAAAAATAAAAGAAATAAAAACTTTATAAAAAGTATTTTAAAAAAATATTACGTATGTGTGTTAAATGCAATTTATAAAATTTATGCATTGATTTAGCTTAATCAAATTCACTGTAATATTAACCGAACTCTGTAAAGTAACAAAAAAAAATAATTGGCAGGAAGACCGTATGTGCACGCACAGACAAATTTAATCAAACAGAACAATTGGAAATGGCCTTTATACTAGCAACAAAGAATAAAATTTTTGTGAATTTTTGTATGTATATTCTATTGAAATATACGAGTACATGTGTATACATAAATATGTATTTGCGTTTTGGCACCAGGAAGATTTAAAAAAATTAGCAATTAGAGAGTATCTAAATATGCAAAATATGTATTGGCATGCATTGCTTTTNATTGGCAGAAAGCACGCACAGATAAATTTAATCAAACAGAACAATTGGAAATGGCCTTTATAGCAACAAAGAATAAAATTTTTGTGATTTTTTTTTATGTATATTCTATTGAAATATACGAGTACATGTGTATACATAAATATGTNTAAATTGGCAGGAAGACCGTATGTGCACGCACAGACAAATTTAATCAAACAGAACAATTGGAAATGGCCTTTATACTAGCAACAAAGAATAAAATTTTTGTGAATTTTTGTATGTATATTCTATTGAAATATACGAGTACATGTGTATACATAAATATGTATTTGCGTTTTGGCACCAGGAAGATTTAAAAAAATTAGCAATTAGAGAGTATCTAAATATGCAAAATATGTATTGGCATGCATTGCTTTTGTTATAATTATCTTATTTTAAAATAACAAAAAAAAAACAACTCAAAAGCAATCTTCATATTTTTTGTAACGGCATATAAAAGTCAAATATATATGTACGTATGTATATGGTATGAGAATGTAAAAATTAAAGAAACACAACACGAAACCTTAAAAAAGAAGAAAAAAATAATATAGAATTTTCGCTCACCATGCCTTTACTTAGAGATGTAAAATTCCAGGNAAACAACTCAAAAGCAATCTTCATACTTTTTGTAACGGCATATAAAAGGCAAATATATATGTACGTATGTATATGGTATGAGAATGTAAAAATTAAAGAAACACAACACGAAACCTTAAAAAAGAAGCAAAAAATAATATAGAATTTTCGCTCACCATGCCTTTACTTAGAGATGTAANCAACTCAAAAGCAATCTTCATATTTTTTGTAACGGCATATAAAAGTCAAATATATATGTACGTATGTATATGGTATGAGAATGTAAAAATTAAAGAAACACAACACGAAACCTTAAAAAAGAAGAAAAAAATAATATAGAATTTTCGCTCACCATGCCTTTACTTAGAGATGTAAAATTCCAGGAATCGCCTAAAATAAAACCTTAAAAAAAAGAAGAGTGAAATCAAAGTGAGAAATTATTCGTACATAGTATGTATATGTACGCACGTGCGTATACAATCTGCATGGCACGTATGTATGTATGTATTTATATGTTTTCCAATATATATTATATAAATATTTCGCGAGCTGAGCGCAAACTTTTGCAATAATTACACTTAAGACAAACACCAAATTAAAACAAAAAACTAAGAAAAAACTAAATAAATAAAATAAAAAACTGAAAACTAAAAAAGCATTGCGTTTTATTAAAAGAAAAAAGTAGCAACGATTTTTAGTAAGTAAAAAAATATATACATATATTTAATCCAAACATTTTTTCGATGTGTTTGCTCGAGCTTCTCGTCCAATTTGTGGCCTGCGTCTTTAGCTTGTCACACAAGTGTATGGTATGAAAATGCCTGCAGTTTTACGACAAATGATTTTTGAAAAAAAAAAAAAAACGTTTTTCATGCCAGTAGTCCTATCGGTGTAACCACTAGGCGGTACCCATGTGTATCAGTTGCTAAGCAGAAAAAGTATAAAAAACTATCAAAAGCAAACACAACTGTTATTTTTTAAACTTTTATTTGAAAAACAAAGAAAAAATAAAATATANATCGGTGTAACCACTAGGCGGTACCCATGTGTATCAGTTGCTAAGCAGAAAAAGTATAAAAAACTATCAAAAGCAAACACAACTGTTATTTTTTAAACTTTTATTTGAAAAACAAAGAAAAAATAAAATATATTAATTAAATCAATAGCTATAAAAAAAAATATATTACTTGCTTTAACAAAAAGAGAGAATCTGTATGCTTATAGGGCTAGTGGCCACACAAAATCATCGCGCAACCCGAGACTTGTACAAGTCAATATTGTAGAAAAAAAAAACAATAAAATTGCGCAAACCTTATTTTGGAAAAACGTTGCTTGAGTAAATATGTGCAAGAAATATGAATGTGCGTTTTATATTTTGATAGCTTTAGCTTTAAAACGCAAAAAATATAATATTTACAAAAAAAAATGTCTACGCTCTTATCCATATTTTACGATCTAGACACCAAAATGTCAAAATTAGATTGCGCAGTTGTCGCCAAACGCAACACAAATTATTGTACAATTAGACAAGCATGAGCAAAATATCAAAATGATTTTGAATTTAGGGCAATAATTGTGCAATTTGTGTGGTGTATAATAACGGCGTATGCAAAGAAATTCCGGGTTGTACTTTTCTTATAAGAGTTACCAAATCAAATTATAAATAGTACATATAAAATTTTAAGACTTTAACAAGAAAAATATTAGTTGTTTTCAAAAACTCATTTCTGCCAGCCAAAAGTAGGAAAGGAAATGGGGCATTTGTGAACAAAAAGTATTAAAGTTTCAAATCTTAAAATTTAGAAAAAAAGTATCAAAAATGATACAATTGTATTAAAACGGCCACGCTGCATGCAAACAAACTGGCTGAACAAACGAATAAAGATCACCCAAGGACGGCGTGCGAGAAAAAAGTTATTTTGTTTTTGCATGACGTCATTTTTTCGCCGCCATGAAAATGACGTATCAACATTTTTTTATCAAATGCACATTACAAATACACGGCTGCTGTGCTAGGTGATCTTGTTAGTTGGTTCATGCTACTGGTCTCGCCACTCACTGAGTTGATCGTGGCCCTTTGAGCTGGATTTTTGCGGCTGTTTTATTCACTAGACGACCAAGCACGTTGCCACTTACTCATCTACCAAAATAGGTTTAAGCTATAGATTTAATTATTCAAATATTTTAAAAATACACATTACTCATTTAGCTAATAAACCAATTTTGCGAATGTTCTGTGAATTTGTTTATAATGCTGGTACATACGTACATATGTATATTGTGAAACGATTTTCCGTAATCCCTTGTCATAATTGGTTTGGAGAACAAATCAGTTGCCGTACTCCTAGCCTGTCGAAAACACCATCAACGAAAATGAATTGGAGCATATTGAGTTAAATTCTCTCTAAGAAAGAGACCAAATATGCGAGCTTTCCCCTGAATGCTCCGATGTTTCTCAGTCAGTTTTAAAGCTGCCTGAAATCTAGTGGCAATATTGTCTTCATGGTAGCTCACCACGAAGGTGAGTAGCTTATACGTAAAATCCTTTGTCCAGGATCTCATACTTAACGCCTCTTCGTTCTGTTATTATAGTTCTAGATTCAATATGTTTATGTTCCATGTATAATTTAAATGTTTCTTAACATGTTCAACTGATTAGCATTTAATGAAATATTCAAGTGAATTTTTTAATAAAAAACAGTTAAAAGAAAAAATCATAAGTCATTTTCTCCATGATTCATCAATAAAATTTGTATGTTCATTTCAAGAAAAATATTTTTTAAACTTTAATACTAAATATGGAATCCCACCGTGTCTGACCTTTTGTTTAAGACGCGATTTTATGTATATCATATAATATTGAAATTTTTGCTGAAGATGCATTTTTAAGACTAAAGGCCCCAAAAACTCTTAAATAATGTAACAATAAGCCACACAAAAATATCTTCCTCCTTCTTTTGACAGCCTTGTTGCAATGTTTCTCTTTTCTTATCAATTTACTTAGACTGCAATTTTCAAACAGGTGGCAACTCTCTAATATTTTTTTTCTATATTATATAAGTTAGACATCTATCCATACATCGATGAAAGCTGCATTCAATTCTATGTATTCGTTTTCGAGTTATACGCGTACAAACATACAGATAAACAGACAAAAATTCTAAAAATTGTTGATTTGGCTTCTGTTGCTCTAATAAATGCCTCCTATATTAATTTTTATATAATATCTATAATATACAGATATCGGTTTGTTGCTTTTATTATATGTATAGATTTAAAAAAAAGTCCTATATGAATCACCCTATACAATATACTTTAGAAGTACCATACTTTTCGATACCCTTTAGAGAAGTGTCGCAATGCAATGGCAACAATAATTTTACTTTGCTTGAAATCAACTTCAGAGAGAAGAAGGTGCAAAATGGCTTGGATGAAGTGACGCGCGAAAGCGATTGGAAGTAAAGTAAAGCAGGAGTTTCTGTGATGTATCGCCATTAAATTTATGCACTGAGCTTTATTCACGCACGCACACTACAAGTTAACTGCTGAAGCGGTATAAGACGAAAGTGTTAAGTTTATGCATAAACATACATACACATATAAAAATGCTTAGCATTAAAAATACTTACATATTTAGACGCATTTTAAAATATACAATAATGTTGCGTTTTGTGTTTCGTTATCAGTGGAAACATACATATGAATGTATATAAATCCAAAGTGAAAGATATAGACTTGCTCCGTTTTAACACATTTCAAACCAGAGATGGAATTTCTAAATTTCAAAATGTGCCTAATGGTATTCTAAAATAGTGCCGAAAAGAAGATGAAAGTGCCACAAAATTAAATTTCTTTTAAGGCGTTTTAAGAACAATATATTAATAGAATAGAATAATATTTTAAAAATACACTGAAGTAATATAATAATTATTGATTAACCAAAATTATTACAGCAAATCACTTTTATCAAGGATTCCTTAGACATATGTACATATACATAAATTCATAGTAAAATTACACATAATATCAATTACGGAGGGGAAATACACCGAAATATAGCCTAACCTACATATATGCGCCTAGTTTCGCCTATTCTTTTCATTGATTATTTTTTGAAATTTTTTGAATAGATGAAAATGTGTGACGCCGTCAGAAATAAAAAGATCAAAAATCATCGGGATATTCAGGAAACTTGCACTTTTATTTAATGGACTATAAAACTGCAAAAGCTTGTTTTTGCGAAAACTTAACTTTTCATACTACGTATTCACAATAGCATTCAGCGGTTTGTAAATATTTCTCACGGCCCTTAATTGAATTTTTTCGTGCTTTTAATTTTCACTTTTTGTAATTTTTTAATTTATAATGTAGTATGTGATTTTTTGTTATGTATTAGCAGTTTATGCTAAATTTCTATATTTTGATTGTGCCAAAACAGGACGAATTGTGCCAAAAGTGCCTCTGAGAATGAAAGTGCCAAAAATGGCACTATTGTGCCTACTTTTCCATCACTGTTTCAAACACATATATAAACGCAAATTTACTTAAGTAAATCATATACATACATATACATACATGCATGCATTAAAGATACACACTTATCTACATTAAGGTGCCGCTGAAAGGCAGCGATATGTTGGCAATAAAAATCGTGCAAGAAATAATTGAGTTCCTCTAGCTTTCAGATCGCAGGCGCAGATCACTTAAGTTTGCATTTCGCTTTCAAATGAGGAGATTTACTGCTTAAATGTTGTGAAATATTAATTTTCGTATGAAAAGTTGAGAGATATTTTTAAAACGTTCTGGCGAGACATCCTAATGCACATACAAATATTCATGTATACATACATTCGTCTGCCACAAACTTTTTTTTTATTTACATCATCGCGTTGTTTGCACTTTTTTCGAAATATTCTGCATTTATTAAAATTTCGTTTTCGTTTGTGAATTAGTGCGCTCTGATAAGTGCGAGACAACACAACATTGTGGCGTTGATCTGGAAAGAATATGAACGAGTTTTAAGTTATGTAAATAAAACAAAAAAAACTTAAAATATTTATATGTGAAATAAAGAAACACTTTATATTTTTACGAAAAAATTATAGTCACACAAAGGATACAATAACAAAATGTACTCGTTTTGGTATACTTTTATAAAAACGCTCGGTTGTGGCGCCGGAAAAATGAAGATGACACCAAGAAATATTATCTTGATCACCGGCTGTGATTCAGGATTAGGGTGAGTATACATACACATACATACATACATACATATACACGCCGTGTCCAAATTATAAGCGCATCACATATTGACAAGTATCATTCGCAACTGCTTGAATGAAGAATAAAAATTTATTCGTCATTCAAAATTGTTGAAATGATGAGTGAAAACTTATTCTTATTTTTTTTTATTCAATTTTTCATTTTCGTGATTACGCCCATCCCTGTGTGTAATTAGCCAAATAGGGCAGTATGGGGACCATGTAACGAGATGTTGCATGTCGGCAGGCGCGTTAGATATTCTTTTGGAGATTATTGGCGATCAAAATGTATTTATTTATTTATTTATTTTATAAATTAGTGATAGTTAATGCTAGAATCAGGCTGCAGATCTCGTTTCTGTGTCGTCGCCTTAACCAAATAGCTTTAAATAAAAAAGCCTAAAAATATACTACAAATATTTAAGGGTTTATCAAAAATTTCGGTTGGCGATATATCTGGTATAAGAAATGATATCAGAATAAATAAAACAGTATTATTAAGGGATTTGTTGGTGATGTTGTAGCAGCACGTAGTCTCCGAATCGGTTGGTTTTTTATTCATCTTCCCCATCGGACTTCTCCAACCTTAGGCCCAGGAAGCGAGCATTATCGATAGGTTGAGTACACTGCGCTTCGGGTGTCAGATGGGTGGGATATGTAAGGCATGCGAAAAGGTGTGCCGAGTTGTGTGGACCGGTTCCGCATGCTGGGCAGGTGTCGGCGATCTTCGGGTCTAATCTGGTGCTGTATAAGTTTAGACGACTGCACCAGCCAGATCTGAGCTGCGCCAGTATGGTTCTAGTTTCGCGCGGCAGGCTATGAGAGGTGGCCGGCCACCGGGGACTATGTTTTCGTGGCATCCTCTTGTTGCAGAGATGACTGTTTCGCGATGAAGGTTGTTGATGCCCTTAAGGTATGCCACGCCGCTTAATGGTGAATGAAGTTGTTGGTCGATGTCTCCTTCTAGATGACGGAGGTGTCTTCTTACGTGTCTTGGTGGTGCAGCTCTCTGTGTCAAGACTGTAGTTTGGGTGAGTTGTTCTGTGACAACCTAGCAGACATGCTGTCGATTTTGTTTCCCGTTTTCATTGTGGAACAGTCATCCGCGTATGAGACTAAGGTGACTCCCTGAGGTGGAGGTTAAACAGGATCGGTGATAGTACCCCGCCTTGTGGTACACCCTGCTTAATCTTACGTGGTTTTGATGTTTTGTTTCGGAATACAACAGATGTCTGCCTCCAGCGGAGGTAACTAACAATCCAACGTTTGGTGTACGGCGGGAGAGAAGACGAGATAATGTCCTCTATAAGTGTTGCATGATTGACGGTGTCGAAGGCTTTTGATAGGTCACGTGCCACTAAGATGGTGCGGGCGCAGGGGCGGTTTTGGTTCAAACCGTCATTTATTTGCGCTGTGATGATGTTAAGTGCAGTGGTGGTGCTATATAGCTTCCTTAATCTGTGCTGATGTGAGGCAAGGTGCAGGTGTTGGGTCAGTTGCGGAAGGAGTAGCGCTTCTAGGGTTTTAGCCACCGTAGAGAGGATTCACCTAACTCTGCGTTCTTTCCAGGCTTTTGCAGGGGGATTAGTCTCCCGTTTTTCCGTGATTTCGATGCCTTGCCCTTGTGAATCGCGCCTTGTACTTCGTTGGGCGTGAATGTTGGTGTTATGCCAGTTTCACGGATGTTATATGCTTTGCGGCATATGCTGCGTTGGGTTGTGCTCCTCACAGGGTGCGTCGGCAAAATTCTCGCGCGCACTTCCTTGTGTCGGTGTGAATTTTGTCGGCGAATTTTATGGCCGTGTGGTCGTCATACTTCGCCGGTTTCGAGACGGACTTCATCGTAGACCGCATCTTACTGACGCCCTCTTGAAGGTTGCATGATTTGAGGTACTGCAAACATTTTTTCCGCTTATGGTTATAGACGAGGAGCTTGATCTCAGCGTTAAGAACCTTCATACTAGAATTGTCGGGATTGGCTCGCCTGATTTAGTCACGGACGTCAGCGGGGCCTGCCGCTTTGGTCGGGAAGCGTGGTCGGATCTCCGGTATTCGTACGGCTGGGATGAAGCGGGGAGTTGCTGCATTTAGGACCGTGCGGAATTCGCGCCCGGTTCTGCGAGCGTCAGGTGGAGTCGGTAGGGCACCTAAGTGGCTGTTCACATAGTCTCTGAAGCCGTCCCAATTGGCTTTTTTGGCGTTGATATATGTGCGACGCTCGGAGACTACAAAATCACTGGGGTTGGCAATGGATAGTATGACGGGAAGGTGGTGGTCGGAGAACAACGAGATCATGTAGTGCAGTTGATTAAGTTTGCACTCGCGATGGATAAGTCTGGCGAGCTGCTGGAAGTGCCTGTGAGTCTCGTTGGGGCATCGTCATTCAACCAACAGAAGGTGGACTCATCAATTTGCTGATAGCGCTACACCCTGTTGGTCAAGGCCAAGGTTAGAATGCCAGAGCACGTGATGCGCATTGAAGCCGCCTATCACTAGCGTGTTATCTCCGACGAGTAGGGAACTGAGGTCTGGACGGTATCCTGACACACAAATTATTAAGGGAGTCGTCGACTCCTCTAAAACAAAATTATGTTGCGGCGAATATAGCGTGGTTACGTTTGAATATCTCGAGAACCTGAGAATATGGGACAAATCTGAAATCCGAGTCTGAAAAATGTGGGCTATGAAATATTAAGGCCTGTGCATTCAGGAAAGTAAACGGTATATTAAGCAAATATTTCTGTAGAAAAATGTTATTTACGAACTTTTGGACTGATAATGACGAAATATGATCCCTACAAGAATTCGGTGATGGAAACTAACACATTCTCATTTATCTTACTAACACATTTGCTAGTTTTGCGTTGGTAAAAAAGAGACCACTAAATAAGGTCATAAGTTGAATAAAGATATAAAATCACATGTATACATTTGTTTCCATCATGTTTTGCACATTGGCCTTAAAAACTTGATGGGAGTGTTTGATGGACATTTCCATCACCAGTGAGTATTACATGATCAATTAAATGACTGTCACTGTTTTTGTAGGGATGTTCTTAAAATATTTACACTTCTTTAAACTGAATTTTTTTATTTATACTATTTATTCTCATTCTCTAAAAATTACTCTTCGAAACCGACGAAACCTTTATGGCTAAAAAAATAGTCATTCCTTGGCATTGTATTGTCATACCTTAAATATGACTGTTATATCGGCCTGCCATAACATTAACTCCGAAGGTGCGCATCTATTACGAAATCTTAATGACCCCAAACGTATGATCACCATCGAAGTGGACCTTCTCAAGCAGGAAACAATTACACACGCTTTCCAATATGTTACCGACTTGTTGCGCGCCGACAGTGAATACCAATTCACAGCGCTGGTCAACAATGCCGGCGTTATGTGCTTTGGCGAATTCGAGTGGCAAACAACAGCGCAATTCGAAATGCAAATCAACGTAAATGTATTGGGCACAATGCGTCTCACCAAGGAACTACTGCCGTTGGTGCGACAGCATCGCGGACGTATCATCAACATTACCAGCCATTGTGGTCTACAGGTGAGATCATTCACTCATCCATACACATATACATATTTGCATAGATTTGAATTAAGAAATTCCACAAAGATGTTTATTTCTGTGTTCGTATGGAATAGTAGCTTATGTCGGGAGGCTGGCTTTAGTATAATGCGGCATTTCTTTATTCTTTAAACGGCAAGAAATTTTTTCGAGACTTAATAAGAATATTGTCTTGCTAGTATCGGAACTATTTCTTGGGCATTTTATTTGCCAAAAGTTCTATAACGGCTCGGTGCCAGTGAGTCATTCGGAATCGTATGCTGCGAATGCCGCCTTATACTAAAGCCAGCCTTACGACAAAAGCTACTATTCCATACGAATACAGATTTAATGAAATGAATTTTCATTGCCAGGCTCTTCCAGCATTAAGTCCATATGCTGCTTCCAAGGCTGCTTTGCGCTTTTGGAACGATTCACTGCGCATGGAAATGCGTCAATATGGTGTGGAGGTGATCAATTTCGTGCCTGGATCCTTTGTGCATTTGAGCAATATATCGGCGAGGCAACAAGATCATGCGAAAGTTATGCTAGATGCATTTAATGATGAGCAACGACAATTATACGGCGCCTACTTCAAGCAATTCAACAATTATTTAACAGTTATTTCAGGGTTTAAAGCACCAAATCAATTTCGTGACGACCGTTTGTTGGAAAAATTCAATGATGCATTAACGAACAGAGTTCCACGAGCAATTTATATACATGAACCATGGCGGTAAGAATTCGTTGTTTTATTCAAAATTAAATCAAATTGAACCTGAGAAAATGAAAAAGTTCGCATGGAATTAAAGTTGCATAATTTTATGATCTATTTACTTAGTTGAATGATAATCTTTTTTTTTCGCTTTTCCAATTATAGTTATAAATTGTACCGTTTCCTTTTCTACATTTGCCCCACGCCCATAGTGGATCGGCTAACAGTGAAATTCTGCGCTATGCCAACTTATCAGCAAGTTATGGAAACGAGCGAACAGTGCCAAAAAAATTGATTTCCATCTTTAATTTATATTTAATAAATGTTTACATACATATTTCGCAATATTAGTTTTTTACTCGATTACATTACACAGTTTAAATAATATGTATGAACGTACTTACATTGCATGTATGTTATAGGTTTTAATGCATTATATAAATCGACTTTAACTTTCCTAAGTCACTGTACTTCTTTTCGCAAATGCGTTGTTTTAGTCACTCTAATTGCACAAATTTAACAGTAAGTATTCAATAATAATATGTCAAATAATAATTGTAGGCGCCCTTATACAAGCTTTACCATGTTACTATAAATTTAAAAAAATAATTTTTTGAAAATAATTACTCGTATCGTTTTAGATCGACTCGGCGATTTTCAGCTTTTCAATTTAGTCGTAGTGCAAGTTTTGAGGGTTAGGAGCATTCCAACTGTCATCGAGTGAATTGTCATCACCACCACGTCCAAAATGTGCCATTAAATAGATGAGTACTAAAAATGCCAACACGCCGCTTAATACCAGGAACCAAGTGCGTCGCCAGGGAGGACGCGATGATGGTGCATAGAACCGGCGAGACCAACGGGAAAAATTTTCGGAAGGTGTACGGCGCTCATACTTATTTTCGTCACGATCATGACCACCGATTGGCGGCTGACGTGGCAGCATTGGTCGTCTACTGTTAGCTACAAGAGTCCAATGTAACATAAAAAATTAGTTACTTACAACTAATTTACATATGTACACATATCTACTAGCATTTGCTTACCATGAATATCCCTTTCTGATGGTGGACTGAAGGCATCCATTAAGAGCACAGAATGTGGATGGTCGTGACGTGTCGTTTGATTCGAGAACACACCATTTGCTTTCGAGCGCTCCATGCTGCTGGAATGATGCACTTTTGTCATTACCGATTCTATTTGCGCGTCTGCAGACACCACCTGGGCTCTCACCTTTGCACTTGTTGTTGATTGGTCATTAGGCAACTGTGAATTCCGATATAAATACAGTGAACGGAACTATAAAACAAAATAGGTAAGTCACTTACCAAGGAAAGTCCCAGGCCATTTCGACCCCAATTCACTTGTGACAAATAAGCTTTTAATGCATCAGCTACGGGCGATACCAAATTGGAATTTGGAAATATCTCCGTCTCGCAAATAGGACACTGATGACCGCGTGGCGCCGTATTGGCCGGCAATGACGACTGTCGGGCATCCAAACAATCCCAATGGAACACATCTGCAAAGAAATATATGAAAATGGGCAGTAGATATATTAAAGCTTTTGCTGTGGTTTGTGCTTGCAACATACGGTAACAGATCAGCCGTACACATTCACCCTGTTCTAATGTTGTGGAGCAAAGTGTACAATTGGAAACATAATCGCTGTCACGTAGCCATTGCAAATATGATTGAACAACGCACTATAAGAAGAAAATTATTTACTTCGGCAACAAATAAACAACGTAATATTTTGATATTACCTTTGGGTGGTTTTGGACCATGCAATTTTCGCAAACGTTGACGCGATGTTCAAAACAGAACTGATTCGTCACTTGGCGTTTAGGGCACTTGCAAAGACCCATTGTACCGCGGCCCCGATTAATATATTTATGGACAAAAAAAGGAAAATCCAAATCTCACAATAAAATTAAAGTATTGCCAATTAGCAATTGCACATACTACGAAAATATGTAAAGTGTATTCAGCGCTCAACTCAATTTGCCAACAAATCTCCTAAATTTTCGTGTTTCGTATTTTTTATCTGCTTATTAACTGTCAAAATTGATGAAGGGAGAATAACAAAAACAAAACAAAAACGTCAGCTGGAATTTTTCTGGAATGCACCGGAAATCATTGGAATGCACTACCAGAAGTACAGGGTGGGAACTATTTTCACGCTTTCTTTCTTTCAAAATCTGACATCACGTCTCCACAGGCAAAGCTTTTTATCTTGATGCTATCAGGCAATATTTTGGCAATGGAGATCGCTCTTGGCAAGCAATACTTATCAGAGAGCTTTTATCTTGATAAATATTGCCGGCAATTTGGTAGTTGGATCATGTAGTTTGACGGCAAAATTATTGATATTTTAATATAAAAGCAAAAATTAAGCTGTTTTTTTTTATTAAATTTTTTGGTTATTGTGTACTAGGATGTGATATAACGATTTTGTAAAATTTTTAAGTGATTAAGTCCGTTTAGAAGCGAATGCTTTTATCAAGAAAAAAATGCCGACGCACAAAAACTTACTTACATGATATTTTGTTCTTAAGATAATTTTTTCGGTAAGAAAATTCTCATTCGTTCTCATGTTGGCTTACACGAGGAGCTCTCACGCTTTCATGTTTTAGACTAAATGTATGATTAGTTCGAGTTTTTTGGGACTTATTCAGAGCTTTTAGGAATATTTTGGGTTTTTCGAGACCACTTCGATTTTCGGATTTTCGGGACTGCATGCACAGCCTGTGGAGATTGTTCAGCTGCTGCTATGGATCTCCGGCGATGAATCCCTTGCCAGCTTTCGCAAGTGATAAGCGATTAACTGTCAAATAGTGGGTCTCACAGTTTGTTTTAACTTAAAATTTTGATGTAGTTTTTTTATAATACATATAAGCTATTTTTTTGCAAAAACAGTAATTTTCGTCATTTGGAATGTACTCGTCAGCACTAGTAGAAATGAAATCTGATGTAATAAAATGCCGCGTACAAAACAAACTTCTCTTCTCTGGCTTGAGACTTTTTTTTATTATTTTCAAAGATTAAGTGCTCCTAGTTTATTTCAATCTAGCCATTCGGCCATATAAACGCATTTATTTGGAGTCACATCACCACATTTCGAGCAATTCCGAATGACTGGACAAATACCACATGGCATTTGTACTAGTCCGGGAGCAGCCAGAGGTGCGTTGATAGCACGATAGACATAAGAACCATTCTGCATCATAATACGCTCCGCATTGCCATCGTAAACGACAGTTTTCAATATTGTTTCCAAATCATCCTCGTCTAGGTGGACCTAAAACAAAAATAAAACCACTTATTTGTACTTTGATCATTTGTATTATCTTACATAAATCATACCTTACTTATACCCAAGTCTGAGATGAACTTATGCACCTCCTTGACAGTGCAACAGGACAACCGTTTTAGGGGTAGGGGCCCTTCACGCTTCTTTTCAGCATTTTCACGTGTCATCTGCAGAAACCTTAAGCATTGCTGATTGAGCACATCCACGAACTCAGCTTCAAAATCTTGATCCTGATACCAGGCGCCTCCAGTTACTGAGCGATCTGGTTCCAAGTTATACAGCATATAAACTTTCTTTTTACTTGCCTGAAATTAGGACCGTAAATAAAAATTCTCTGAAATTGTACTTTCATCAGCATTGCCTTACATTAACTGATTTAACTGCCTTGATCAGCTTTTTTGTTTCCAAGTTTTTCAGAATCTTATTTAACTGTGTCATATTCAGATTCGACTGCATGCGTATGTCGCGTATCCAAATGCCCTTATTGCCGCCTTCCTCAATAATTCCATATATAATTTTCTCCTCGTTGTCAGCATCTTTTGGCAGTGCGCTCTTTTTCGGATCCTTTGCGCGATATATGAGTCTATCACCCTTCTTTAGTAACTCGATTGTACCCTGTTGGAGTAGCTTATTCAAACCATCTAGTCGGGCTTGAGCTGGCACATCAGATAAGCCCTTGACTAGATCATCATTCGTGGCACCTGTTGGGATTCCTTGAATGATGGCCAATATTTCATGAGAAATATCGTTTGCAGCCATAATTTTTACTGCTGAAATAATTATGCAAATCTAAAAAGCCAGAAAATGCACTTCTACCTTCTACCCTATAAATGACAAAAATAAACATTGATAATGAGAAATGTCAGTGAAAGCAAAGCAGGCAAATTTACAACAAAAACAACTCGGCACACAGGGCTTGTATGAAGCGCTCGCCAAATTTTTAACGAAAAAACACTTTTCGCGAGAATTAAGCGATAAAATGTCATTTGCCGGAGAAACTTTGTCGGATGACGAAGATTTCAAAAAGGTAACCGAGGCTAATTTCCAGAAGATCCGCAACAAATCCAACAAGGTAAGAACTCGCCGATCCACATGCTGAAAAATAACAAATGACAATGCGGCAAACGGTGCTGCCAGATGTAAAGAAACTTAATTATTACTTAAATTATAGCTCGGTTACGCTGAGGGTCTTTCTGACGGAAAAGAGGCGATCTTTCAAACTGTTTTCGACAATGGATATACTCATGGATTGCGTACAGGATTTGAACTCGAGAAATACCGATCGTTCTTCGAAAACCTGAGCATTTTAAAAGTTCAAAATGAGGAGTTAAATAAGGAAAAAGCGCTATATTCAAAAATGTCAGTGGATATTGCAACAGATCCCAGTCATTGCTATTTTGCTAAGCATAACAAAGAACCCCTTGATGCAATTACCCATCACCAAAACACTTACGTGGATACATTTTTGAGACAGTGTCAACAAACACTGCCACTAACAACTAATTTATTAGCGTCGCAAAAGTAGAGTAGAAATTAATTTTACGATATTTTAAAATAAATCCAGCCTAAAAATTATAAGTATAATCCCTCGACTGTGCCTTCCTTTTTGCGATACAAAACACTCTCCTTAGATTTTTTGAAGTCTTCGTTGGTGACTTTCATGCGTCGTTCACGTAGGGCCATCAAACCGGCCTCTGTACAAATAGCCTTGATATCCGCACCGGAGAGGTCATCCTTGGCCATTATCAGTTCGTGGAGGTTCACGTCTTCAGCTAAAGTCATGCGGGAAGTATGAATCGTAAAAATCCGGCGCTTAGTTTTCTCATCAGGAAGTGGAAATTCAATTTTACGGTCAATACGGCCGGGACGAATAAGAGCAGGATCCAATGTTTCAATTCGATTTGTTGCCATGATAACCTATATGCAAACTCAATAACGTTAAGATTTGAAACAAAAAAAGGAAATTCGCTCACTCACTTTTACGTCTCCTCGGGAGTCGAAACCATCAAGCTGATTCAGCAATTCTAACATAGTACGCTGAATTTCTCTTTCTCCACCGGAGTTAGAGTCGTAACGTTTTGTTCCCACCGCATCAATTTCGTCTATGAAAACAATTGACGGTGCATGCTCTTCAGCTACACGGAAAAGCTCGCGCACCAATTTTGGACCATCACCAAGGTATTTTTGAATCAGTTCTGAGCCAACAACACGCAAGAATGTGGCAGACGTTTGATTTGCTACTGCTTTGGCCAGCAATGTTTTCCCAGTACCTGGCGGCCCGTATAGAATTACACCTTTCGGTGGTTTAATACCCATTTCTTCATAATATTCTGGATGCGTCAACGGCAATTCCACAGATTCCTTGATTTCCTGAATTTGGGTGTCCAAGCCACCTATGTCGGCATACGTCTCTTGGGGCGCCTTTTCAAGTTTCATTACTGTAACCATAGGATCTGTATCATCACTGAGAACACCGACAACTGCATGAACTTTATGGTTCAAAAGCACAGAACAACCAGGTTCCAATTGATCTTTGTCAACAAAGGACAATATGCTAACATAATGCTCTGAACCCACAGAAGTGGAGACAATGGCGTGATTATCATCGATAATCTCTTCAAGATTGCCTACCGACATAGGCGTTCCACGCAGGTCATCAACCTTCGAACGTTCTTCTTCGTTTTTTTCATCTTGTGGCTTTAGTCGTTCTTGGTTACGTATGAACTCATCTTCCATCATAAGGTAATCTTTAATGCGCTCCAACTTCAAGAGCTTCAGACGGCATCGTGTGTGCGGAGTTACTAGTGGTAGCTTCATGGCTGCATCGGGACCCTTTGCTCGACGCTTCTTTTTGCCCACACGGGTAGGAATTGGAGGTTCATACTTCTTTTTCTTGTCTTTGTCATCTTTTTTATCGCCGGAGCCGCCTGAGGCTGATTGGTTTTGTCCCTAATGAAGACAAGTTCAAAAGTTTTAAGAGGTATACAATTTGTATTAATAATGAAAATCAGCAATGTTATAGAGCTTACCATTTTTTATTAACACAATTATCACTAAAAATCAAATAATTGCAAATTGCAGACGGAACCCCAAACTGACAAACAATTTTCACAAGTCACTTTGTACTTGCTTGAAGATGGCTGCGATTGATATCCGCATTTTCATACGTACTGTGTTCATTACCGGCCATCTTCACCTACTTCAAAGTCTCGCTGGCGTTCTCCTTTTATTTCTCGCAAGCGAGATAGTTTTGTTGACTGGACTTTTGAAAGCATACTTTTCTCAAAAAAATTTCGGGGGCATTCATATTTTCAAAAATCTAGAATCCGCCACTCCATTTCATTATTATAAATATTCACTACGTCTTTCTAAGTTAGTTTTTTTTTATTGTAGAAAATGAATACAAATTACAAAAAATACAGTTGAGAGCAAGCAAGATATTGCAAACCGCTCGGATATCGGATGTATTGAGAATATGTTTATATTACCACTCTTACGAACGCGTTACGGAACGTCATTCGCTGGCACTTGTCAGATAGAGAAACCTTTTTTCTGCCTACGCATACAAAGATGGTGCTGCTGGACAATTCTACGGTGAATATAAACATAATTTTAAATAAAAGTATTCATAAAATCCAATAATCCCCTCGTTGTAGTTTATTATCCGATTAGAAAAGTTCGCAAATGCTGCGAGAAAGGATTCGTCTTTTACAGTAACGTTCAAAAGATGTAAGTATCTAATCTTTAATTTGACGGCTTGAACTTTAAGCTAATCTCACTCCAATCCACAGACAATGGCCACGATAGACCCAAACCACGCGAAGGACGACCAGCACTTCCCGAACCAGAAACGTACTTGTGCCTTATGCGGGCACAGACGAAATCAAAAAAGGTATGCACCTCACTTATTATTTTCTAAATCAGGAAAAAATATCTGCTATTTGGTCTTATCCATCATAGATATCCACAATCGTGCGTCAGGAAGATGTCCCGAAAATGATGAACATGTATGCTCAGTTCATGAAAAGCAACATGGATGGTCTGAAACGTGTCAAGAAAGTGAAGAGTAAAGCGAAGGCGGCAAAGGGATAAACAGGCGCACCTCTTTTGTATAGGAAATATTTAGCTTTTTAAGAAACCTTCTTGTTTATTTATAAATAAACTGGTAAAGTAAAATATTGCATTAAAGTAATTTCGGCTAAAAGTTTCCAATCAGTCAATAATGAAATCGAGCCGAATTAAAATAAATTTTATAAATTGTGTAAAAATGCACACTCAAAAAATCTATATTTGCACAAATACATTATTTTTATGTCTAGATGCATTCAGACTAATTAAAATAGTGAAAAATTTGTTAAGTCATTAAAAATATGTTTGCCTTAAATAGGTAATATGGAGAAATACGTACTTATTCCATAAGTGTCAGGGTGCCGGTATGGTTATGGCCTAATCCTTCTTTGTTATCAAACCTTGCTTCTTTAATTGACGTAATGCGCATTTGGCAGCCGTGCACTTTGCTATACGATAATTGCGGCCAATACCACGGAACGTACCCTTGAGGAAGACTTCCACGGTGACTCGCACCCGGCGCCCATCGGCCAGTTTCTCCGGTTTCCTAAAAAGGCAAATATTATAAAATATATGTATATTTGTCATGCGTTTCGAAAATCTTATTTTTTCAGTTACCCAAATTTAGCAGTTTCCGGTTCAAGTTCCAGCAATTCTCTAATAGGCGATTTTGGCACTGAGTTGCTGAATTGTTCTATCTCTGGCTTCATCATATTACTATACACCTGCCATACAACGTCCAGTGACATATTGGAATCTAAAAATATTGCGCCCGCTATTGATTCGAATACGTCACCTAAAGCCTTTGGCACTTCAACATCCTCAGCATCGTCACACTCTTCTTCCGAAAGTAGATAATACTACGAAGCAATCAAAAAGTATTTGTTTTATAAAACTTTCAAAGCCAAACCTATAGTTTCATACTTCCTCGCTTATGCTGTGTCCATTTTCATTCTGAATTCGTACAAATCGATCGATAACTTCATTCAGACCAGGGGACAGATGTCGGAAATATTTATGGAAACCATGTCGAACGGCTAATGATGCAAATATCGTGTTATTTACTAACGCTGAACGTAAATCCGTCAAGGCACCCGGTGAGTGCTGTCTGGGATCTTCGTACAGATGACGTGTGATCAGATAATCTAGAACTGCATCACCTAGGAATTCTAACCGTTGATAGCAATCCGTCAAACGGTTCGGCGAGTAGCTGGCATGAGTCATGGCTTGCAATAAGTAGGAGCGATCGCGGAATTTATAACCCAAAGTGGCTTCGAACTCGTCAAAGCCCTCCAGCATATACTCCAACTCCTGTGTGGCATTAGGCGAATAGTGGAGGAGTGGGCTTTTTGGTGCAGCCCACTCTCCATATACCGTTATCTCACCATTATCATCTGGACAAGTGCTGCCGGGAATACGAGGCGTTTGTGGATTATATGGCTTACGTACAAACGGAAGTACACGTATTCCCAACCAAGCCATGAACAGCAGTGCGCCTCGCGGACCACATTCGATTAGGTATGCACCGATCAATGCTTCAACGCAATCGGCCACTGATTTATCTGCAAGTATTTTTGATTTTAATTGAAATGATTACGCCCAAATCTATAAACCAACCTGGAATGCTGTGCTGAGTCACAAGATTGTAAGGAATGAAACATGTAAAGTCTTTTCCCTCGCCACTCTCATCGACGGCACTTGCGTCCTCGCTGTAATTGGATTCCTAAGAAAACCAATACTTTTAACCAAGATTTTAAAAAGTTTTAATCACTTACATCACTAAACAGCCCCAGCTTGTCGGCTTTTTCGCGCACTAAGGCGCATATCTCGGCGCTGTTTAACTTTTTAATGCTAGACAAATCCACCAGTTTCCAGTGATGCGGCGGTATCTGATTGAAAAACGAGGAATTGTGATTCAATACGAATATTAGCATTTCAACCATTAAAAAAAAATGTATGCAAGAATGTTCGTCACCCACCTTTGCCTCGATGAGAGCTTTCTCAAGCTCTTTGGGCACGAAGTAGCACGGTGGCAACCAATTGTCGTGCGGCTCAAATTTCGTCGCTATCATATATTCGCCTAGCTTTTTTCGTCGCCCCAGTCGATACAGATTGAGGTTGGCTACTTGTTTTGATCGCAAGTGGCTGAGTTTGCCTTCGTGTACGTTTTCGTACGTTATATATAAATAAGTGGTAATGGCGTATTTGAGAAATGAGTCCCCAATTGTCTCCAAACGCTCCAAATTAATGCCGTCATTCGCATTCGACATGGTTAAAGCTTGCAGAATGATACTTGGGCTTGGTCCAGGGTGACCGGTTAAATCGGGTTGGCGGTCAAAACTAAACAAATCGCTGTAGACTTTCTTGATTTCCTCCCTTGCAGGCATCAAACTATCATTGCTTTCCGCACTAACTTTTCTATCAAATCTCAACTGTATCAGCTTCTTATATCCTTCACCCCATCGCTCCAACTTAAGCATATCCTTGTCATTGAAATTATCGAATATATCACCGCAACCCTGTACTTCGAACATTTCAAGCGGATGCGACTTCAAATAATCGGCATTCAAGAGTGCTATGTCTGCAGGAGTTAGCAAGTTTCCTCGTTCGTCCAAAATAGACATTAATAAGCTTTTGTCAGCATAGGGCAAAAGCTTAAAAAACATCTCTGCAGTAGGCAATTCGTCGGGTACATACGAATTGCCGCCGGATTTCTCCTTACGAGCCAACGCCACTGGCTGATTGTATTTTACAAGCATGCCCGAATGTTCAATAGTCATCCTTAATATTTTTGTAGATGC